ACAACGAAAAGATAACATACATAGAAATAACACAAGATAGAAAACAATGCAGCATACAAAATAAAACAAAACAAAGACAAGGAAATGGGAAGTTGAGTACCACTTTACGCGTTACCTGTGAGGTGATTGGTGAGGAGGAAAGAAACTCACAACACAAACGCCACTGAGGTTACTATCCACCATGTCAACAAATATATCCAACCAAACATGTTCATCGCCCTTCGGAGCCCAGCCCCGCAGTAGGGAAACACCAAATGACGCTAACCTCGCAGTGAAGGTTTTCATGTCTTTTGATCAAGTCATTGCATGACCTCTACTCATCATCATCCATATAGACCACGGGCGAATAAACAATGCACTTCGCGGGAGTCGGTGGGCTGGCATGCGCAACATGTGGTCCAGCCATCGGAGCCTGGTGCGTGATATATGGTTGCTGAGCGGGTTACTCGCTCTTTCTGCACCAAATACGCGACGCCGAACACGCTCATGGCTCACGCGGTGCTCCCACGAGACATAAGTTAAACTGCGAAGACAGCGATGATCGAATATGACGAGCCTCTTTATGTCTGCCAACCTGATGCGCCAGGTTTCGCAATCATATAGGAAGGCTGAACGGACAGTTGCGTTATAAACTCTGTCCTTCAGGGCGAGAATGAAGTTGCGTCAGCGCCACAGGTGGCTGAGATTGGCAAAAGCACCTCTAGCTTTTGCTATACGGTTTGTGACCTCATACTCAATGGCACGGACGCTAATATAGCTGCCTAGTTACTTGAATTCCTGAACGACTTCTAACTGATCATCAATAAGGGTCAGCACAGGGGTTGGTCTCTGCCAATCTTGTAGAAGTGCTTTACATTTCCAGTGTGCAAAGCATATTCAAAACAATTGAAGCCAGTGCTAATCTGTCCAGTGCTGCACCGCATGTTAGGGTAATATCGTCGGTGCACTCTAAATCAAAAAGTCGATCACCTGGGAGTAGCTCCACACTTTGTAGGTCAATGTTAGCGTACGCAGTTTTCATGGCTTAGACAATGGCGAAGTTAAAGAGTAAGAGTGAGAGCAGGCAAACTTGTCTTGCGCTGCTGGAGATATTGAAGGGCGGTGACAGTTAGTCAAAAACCCTTACTCTATCCGAACTATGCGCATACAGCGCTCAGATAAGGTTTGCAGATTTATCGACACATATGTTTGTGGAGTGTCTGAAGAAGAACAGCTGAGGCGTACATCCATCGACGATGTTGAGCGCCATCGTCTAGTGCCCAGTTCCACCGGATTAAAGGCGCCTTTGCTTGGTATCACAGTTTATTCCCTGCCTCTGAAGATATTTTATTACTTAGTGCTATCCTGATCATTATTATTATTATTATCATTATTATTCCTGCAAAACGTCCCGCTCATATTCATGTGTTGTGATTTTACGGCACAATAAGCAACGTTAATCAACCCATCTTGCTGCTTCACAACATGTGTGCCATATCCTCTACTGGGAACGGTTTGAAGACCAAAGCGCGCGAACTGCCCGGCCCGAATGTGTGTCCATATTTCGAAGGAACATAGCGATTAGCTCAACATTGTTTTCGGAGGTTTACTATCATCATGCAGTACAGCACCCAGATAATGTACGGTGTTTACAAATTATTCTAATTTCGCATGTCAAAATCTGAAAAAGCCAACCTATCATTCTGCGGTCATCATAGTCTGTCAACAATGCCATAATCATGATTACTATTAGAATTAATAAGCGGTAGAAACCTGGGAGCGGGAGGATGATGTAACGTGGTACGTCACGCAGCGAACAGATTTGATCTAAAGCTTGTAAAAGTGTCTAATCGGGATGCAAACACAGACACATCTCAAAGTGCCTCTGCCGCCACAAAATGGGAGTCGGGTACTCACAACCGAAGCACGGAGCCACCAAGCTCACTCACTCTTCCGCTGTAGGGTAGTGCACCAGTGCGCAGTGATGATGTGTAGCCGCGATACGACGGCAAATAAGTGAGATAGTTTTGAGAAACAAAATTTGGGGAACAACGAATCACCCGAATACGCCTCATATACAGCAAGCCTATAAGTACCATCGGTTACTCCAACGCCCGATGCGAGACACTAATCGAACAATCGTCAAATATGTCATTCTCTAGAGATGCAGTAAAATATAAATAAACGTGGCTACAAAAGGAGACAGAAGGGTTTTCGAAGCAAGATTCTGGTCTGTAAATTATTAGTTCCGTAATACATAAGATGATGCTATGTATAGTGCTTATCGTCAGATGTATGGAATTGTAACAACGTGTAATCCGTTGTAGGGTGATGGAGATTAATGCAGCTAGGTTATTTTTATGGGGCAGGATGATTAACAAAATGGTTAGCATAGGCCACATAATCACCATACAAATACTTGGGAGCCAGAACGGAAAGTTAGATAAAAAAAACAACGAAAACAAGACAATCGGTGTCCACATTTCTTTTCTCAGTAGCTTTGGTAAAGGCTGAAATAAATGTGATCTGAACAAGAAAAGTACATTGAATTATGAACACAATAAAAAAGCAACTGAAATATCAGAAAAGCTGAGGAACATGGGGCCAGTGGGAGGACATGTATTTAGCAATGCCAAAATGCACGAACCTCGAGGGTTTGCGCTTCCAGCGCAAATCCGTACTATCAACCTGTTATTCGTTCTAGGTTTGGCTAAAAAATGACGTGCGTAAACCAATGGCACTTTACAAGAGACGTGCTTCAAGTCAGAAGACTGACCCCAATATCGCCGCACAATGGTGTGAGGTAAACAGCAACACGGCACGGTGCATGAATGAATGGGTTTCATGCGTGAGCACTCACATCAAGGTTGCAACGACCTGGGGTCACTACAGTAGTACGGTGTCACAAATGGCAATCCTGAGATGCCTCATACTAGTGTTAAAACAATGTAAGATCACTGATAATGTGACATGCAGTGTCAAATGTAAATTGTAGCACAACTGCCCTTGTTTCCTAGATTTATTAGACTAATTCAGGTAAACTCGGTGAGCCGAATCCTGCTCGCGGGCTACAGTTTGGTGACCCCAGTTAAAGGGGGAAAACCGAGCGTTCGATGGGATCACCGCTCAACTTTTCTCGGCGAGCGCCCGATGAGTGACAAATTTACGCCACTCGGGAGCTCATCCTTTATCCATCGGACACTCACTGTGCGCTCATCAGACACCGGTGTCAATAGGAAAGGAACAGTGCGTCTCAACCACACGATCATAAGCAGCTGGTTGTTGTGCGAGCTTGAAACATGGTCAGCGAGAAAGTTTTGTCTCGGTTTTCAATGCCCCGTGTAATAATCGTTACGGATATCACCTTAAACGGACAGTCCGCCTGAAGGAAAGAAACAAAAACGCACTACAGATGCATACTGCAAGTGGTGTACTGTGCAGTTTCGCGCCAAGCAGAGTGGGTGACGAGGGAGTCAGTGTGGAAAACGGGGCGGATGCATCAAGTTTCGCAACCGAGTGGTCGATAAACAAAAGAAAGATTTTCTTGCCAAACTGTGAACTGATATAGGACGCCATGAGTCTTCAAGAACGCAGCTATTTTAGTAGAATTGGTGGATGCGATGAACTGGCCCTATCAGCGCCGCCTAGTGCTCACGTGAGAACCAGCAGTGAACTACACGAGACTGATCAGGTAATCAAATATTTAGAGGATAACGGATATCATTGTTATGCGATTGCATGCACGACCGTTGAGACTAACAGAAATTTCCTACATGTGACGAAGATGTTATAACGTATTGGTTGTTCGACTGTCGGAGCAGATAAAAGGTTTTTCACAGTAACCCAAGTGAAGAATAGCCAAAGGAACTGCGGTTGGTACGATTTAAGGGAACTAATCGTCAGAGATGCACATACGGGAACTTAGACTGGAGACGAAACTCGTTACCCTTCACGGCTGCAGTGAGGCCCAGCGAGGAAAGGCTGGCAGATAGCAAAAATTGTTTTCCTGACTACAAAGGCAAACACGCCCTGTATATCTTCGGATTTATAAGAGAATAACAGAAGGGTAAAGAAGGAACTATAGAGGAAAGGAAACGTTGGCTAGACACATGGGCTGACGCGTAGCAGCAGTGTGACTGAGGAGTGAACACTTGAGGTCAGCGTGGCTTGAGATGCGGTAGTTAACTCTTTCGCACATGAATTTTTGTAGTGATGGTGATGAGTTGTCCGCCATCTTGACAACAGAGTAGAGAGAAAAGAAGTACTGCGCCGGCAATGGTTACAGCATACAGGGCAATGTCGCTGCAGTGGACTACATGCATCAGAGGCCATGAAACACATCTATGTAGTTGGGAACGAACAAATGGCAGTCGTCCACGACAGTGACCTCTATGCGCGAAAGGATTAAGACCAGTGTCCCTGAAGAGAACTCAGGTGCAGTCGGTGTGGCTTTAGTAGACACACAACCGTGGTGGACTTGGTGAGAGCTTGAGTTTCATGCTGATATAACAGCACCCGAATGGACACATCTTCAGCGTTCTACACCAGTGGTTCGGGAGTAATGAGACATGACACAAAGCAAAAATCACAAGGAAATGATGAAGAATGGAATACGCGCACGAGTCACGAAAGTAGATGTTCACGCGCGATAGTGATGACTTTCGTGGAGTCCACCAGAAATGGGCAGCTGCAATCTGCACACTTGGAGTCGCCTCATGGCGATAGTATTGCTGAGCCCGCTAGGGAGACAGTTCCAAACGAGCTGTTCGCAAGTTTGGAGGAACCAAAAGAGTGGCAAGTGCCGGAAGGCACTTAGAGATCTCGCAACACGTACGATAGTGTGGAACGGGTACATATCAGTCACGGTTGATTGGGATGCCGGGGCGGATGAATTGACTAAGTAAGTCCCTATTGCTGGCCCCCCGAAACTAAGTAAAGTACGATTTGCCGGTGACTGTGTAACAACAACAACAACAACAACAGCAACAACAACAACACGTTGCACTCACCCACCTACTCACCTTCTGAGCCAACGTAACCGACTTAGTTGGCTAGGTGTGGCGAAGATCCGAGTGACTAGGTTGGCGTCTGCTACAACCATGGTAGTACGCTTTCGATCCCGATCAGATAACTGGAGGGCGGGTGCAAGACAAACAAAACAAAACGCTCGTCCGACAGTGAGACTGGGATGGACGGGACCGAAATGGACCAAGCCGGGAATACCGAGCATAAAGCCCCCAGTGGAAACAGCGTTAGTAGAAGGCACAAAAGTATCGCAGTGGCTGTTGTACTGTCGGGCTTGCAGCAAGGCGGTCGCTTTAGAATCCATAGTGCTGTTTTCGGATGCCGCGCAAGTGCAAGGTGTCTTGGGACGAAGGGTTGACAGGAATGTGCAATTTCCGTTGGATGCGGATAGTGTACATGGAACGACGTCGGTCACGACGCAGGATGTATCGTCACTCAGGGGTTTCGATTTGGCCTCTCTACGGAGATGAGAAGAACAAGGCCGAGAAGAGAGTTGAGAAGCATGAAACGAACGTCGTAGAAAAAATACAGCCCGTTTTAACTAAAAGAGCGTGAAAAAGCCACTATGGAGGTAGCGACAAAATGCAACGACAGAGAGGTGGGTGAGGCGGGGTGATCCAAGTATTCCCATTTCACCATGCAAAATAACCAAACATTATGGGCGAAGGTAAAACGCTGAGAGATGAGAGCAGAAGCAAACTCCAGAAACATGAGTGAAAGCCAGATGACAAGGAATGTGAAACATGCGAAGGCAACCCAGTGGGAGTGAGGGCTCTCAGGTGACCTGTTTACTCGCCTAATGACTGCGTGTCGACCAGTCGTGGTTGTGTCGACGTATTGACGACGTGAGTGCAGATTGGCGGTAGCAAAGGCTTCAAGCGCATGTCGGCACTTTGCACCGAAACTTCGTTGCCATGCATGTGGGCTGAACGTACTGTGAGGTCGCCGTATCTACCTGAATTCGAGCCGGTGACCTTCGGACTATAAAGCAAGTGTGTAATCCTTTGGGTTAAAGGCGTAAAATATATGGTCCAAATGGAAAAAGATAGCGAAAATAAGACGAACAAAGAATAATATAAGTGGCCGTGAAAAACAAAGAACTGCACTGAATGTACTAGTTACATATACTGCTCGACCTCGCTAACTCGAATGTGGTCTAGAGATGACACCAATCTACCATGTCATATGTAGGGAAATGATAAACGATAGTATCACATAGCACATGTCAGTTTCATCGATCTCCTTTGCGATTTCTGCGCTGTGTGATGTGTGCTTCTCGGACAATAGTAAAGCTGTGATAACCAAGCAGAGATAAACGCTGAGAGTCATTTTGAAGTACACGTTGTGTGGATGGATTGCAACGCGCAATCTCAATGTTGACCGCGATTCCCATTGAAGTGAACATTGGTCTTTCGATCACGAGGACCGTAGTTGATGCAAGTAGAAATCTGGGTTTCGCCCGCACGAAAACGCTGCACTACTATGACGCGTTTCGATGTTATTACATCTCATCAGGCGGGTAACACCCAAATTGCTATTTGAATCAGCTACAGTCCTCGTGATCGAAAGACCAAGGTTCACTTCAATGGGAATCGCGGTCAACATTGAGATTGCGCGTCGCAATCCATCCACACAACGTGTACTTCAAAATGACTCTCAACATCATTCATTATACCTTTGTGTCAAACGTTGCCGTCGCAACCCGTTGGCTTAAGGGTAGCGGTCACAACTAACATCCCGATGGTCCCGAGTTCGATGCCTGCTAACTCGATCTGATGAGATGTAAGAACATCGAAATGCGTCATAGGAGTGCAGTGTTTTCGGGCGGGAAACACCCAAATTTCTATTTGCAAGCAGAGAGCACTTTTGGAGGATGGAGTGGGGGACAAGTGGATAATCACTAGGTGCAACCGCACTATAGCAGGAAACACAACACCAGGATGTAGCACACTTAAGCACCAGAGGGGAGATGTAAGAGGAACAGTAGAGGCATTAACCGTGGTCAGAATCACGGAAACTCGCAATGACGGAGTTAAATGCAAGTTTGTGACGATGCAATCAGATGTGAGATATAAATGTGAAGGAATGCGGCTCGAAAAAACACGAGGGTGGAAAACAAGACTGGCTGAAGTCGTATTATTTATGGGTGGGAGCACCTCAGAGCTATGATAAAGCAGTTATTGTGGGCGCAAGAACATCACGTGACATAAGCATTGGCGGGATATTTTGATCGGGGTTACTGGTGAAAAATTAGAGAAGCAAATGGGTTTACAAGTACACGATGCATCTTTCACTCTTGGAGTTTAGAGCAATCGAGAATGTCGCAGTCCAACTCCAGGAACGATGATTAGCAGTTCTGCGGAATCAACAGCCAAGGTGGGTGAGCAAAAGGCTACATAGCCTGTTGGTGCATAAGGGGCATGGCGCAACATGACATGTGTAGTGGGGAACGCGTCAGGCATTCATCCGGAGTTGGGCCAACGGCAGAATCAGGTTAATGCGCATGCCACATATAATGTCATTCCCATACGAGAGACCCAAAAGACCGATTCGGAATATTCCCCATGTTATAGGCTAGCTGAGCGGAATTCAGTTTGACTACGGTTTCGCGAATCCTATCGGACAGATGAAGAAGACAAAGGTCCAACAGAGTAATCTCACAACAGAGACGAATCGGTAACTTCAAAAGAAACTGATGACCAGAGGAGAAACAATTGACCCCCAGAAAGAGAGAGAGTGGCGTTACTGACTCAACCAACTAGGAAGATATATTTATGATATCTATGTATGAATCACAGACACCAAGTATAGGTGCGGACATAGGTCATGTCACACGGTAGCAGTGTACACTGAGCCTGTGTGAGGGAAGATGGGGAGTAACTCTACGTGGGCATGTGCTATGCAACACGATAAAGAGCACACTGGGTGTGAGTGCCACTTAGGTGGTGCTTCGGATCATCAGAACTACCCACAGAACCAAGTCAGATTCAGTGCAGGCGTATGGCAACTATACGCTGTGGCCACATTAGAACAGAACCGAGTGACACAAAGGTGATTAAGGAAACCACCAACCGTAGTACAAGACGGAGGAAAGGAAACAAGCAGTAAACTAGAGAACAGCATCATCAGTGTTGAAATGCGAAGCGTAAACACTCCGGAGTATGATGCTATAAAGCCCAATAATTCGTAGGACGGGGGTTTCGAGGAGCAGCGATTAACTTGAAGGAATGGGCGACATAGCTATACGGATACGAACGCTGGCCGATCCGTGTGGAAGACATGCGTCGTCTTTCCGTCTTCGACAGTAGCTGTTTGAGGAGGATTGCCTGCGTACGTTGGCAACACCGATTGTACAATAAGGAGGTTAGGCACCGCACCTTGCGTAAGACGGATAGTTCACGTTGTGCTGTCATCCGGCTGCGTCAATTTGCCACGTTATGCGCATGTCTAACGAGCGATTACCACGCCGCGCCCAGTTTGAGCACGAAGGGTTACTTTGGAAAAGGTCGCGTGGGGGTCAATACCGTCCGCCTGGCGACAATGCATGGAATTGATGACATGTTGCCTGGTCACCACCGCTGGCCCCGTTCGACTCCCCGGCTGAGGACCAAAAGATGAAGAATGTCAGTGACTCACAACACTGGAAGCAATGGCGTAAAACCGGTCGCAATGGAAGCAGTGCGCACACTAACTTTTAAACACCGCAAAAATTACAATGACGTGCGTAAAACCACAAAAATCGTCGTTCCGTTTTTTCATTCATTATCAAATTCGGGTGTGTACCCAATAAAGGTATCGATGGAGTAACACAGACGCATATATGCTTGCTCTCTACTTTCAGTATCCAGTTAAAGTAGACTCTCAGTTCTTGATGCGAGGCTAAATAACTTTTTAGTAAGCAGAACGGTATGGGGAAGAAGCAAGAGAGAAAAGAACGCGTGAACACTAATCAAACGTGACCAGTAGAGTACATAAGGTGAGGGAGGAGAGTTTTCACAAATCCTTGAAGGACAAGAGGAATCGTGCGAATATTAGATTAATGCGCAAGAGCACAGCGCGTGCTGTCACACTGTATGTAGCCGTACAGAGGGGGTAAAAAACATAACTTTCCTTGATTGTCTTGAATCGCGGTCAGGCTGAGAAAACCGCAATGGTACATCGTGCACCGTCGTCCCTCAGATGGCCTTCACGGAACAGTGCAACATAATACACCTCGTGAAAACCGCTGTAAATGCACAGACCACCACGTGCTGCGCAGTATGAGAGAGGGAACGGGTTTTCGCGGAACACAAATGTAAACAGTGCAATGTACCATGAGGCTGGCCCTGGAAAGGCAGACAACGTCCAACCGATGGGAGAGGGGAGATTTGGGAAGCAGATCGCCCCCACATGCACACACACATTATGTTGACGTTGTCTGGTGATAAAGGGTTTAATGAAAAACTCCCATGTGCGCAGAATACGGTGTGGGATCACGCGAGATGAGTGGGGACGAAGGGACTGTCACATGGGATGAAAAAATTCTGGAATTATAATCAATCTGTCAAGCACAATATAGGACAGAACTGCGCTGTATGGACATAGTGTACGATCAAGGAGAAAAGAGCGGAATTGGAACACAGGGCATAAAGCCGGAGACCCGAGAAGCATTATGCAATTAGCCCTCTGGTGGTGCGCACGCGACAGTATAGATCACGTAATTCCGCGTAGCTGAGACAGTGGGATGGTCTCGATGGCTGCCGAGCATTGCGAGGTACGCTGTCTCGAGCCACAGAGATGTAGGACGATGACCCCCGAAGAACCCGGCCCGCAGCTGGCAGTTCGAACATTTTCAAGAGAATCGACAAAACCAACGCGGAGGTTCCCGATAGACAACACTCTTAATGAGTGTGGAATAACAGCTACATGGAGAAGGAGCAGCATCATGATACAGAAACCCATATTTGAACGGAAGGGGAAGCAGGCGCACAAATTAAGTATGTAGCAGAGTAGACCACTTAGTCTAGGATTCGCACTGATAGTACCACTGACGTCTCGGAGACAGCTAAGATCTAGGCGCGGAAGTGTAGCGGATCTAGTTAATCTGGCACAGCTAGACCAGGCACCCCAGTTACTTTTCGCAAGCACTTTCACCATGCTTCAGTAGACCTATCCGAAAGTTTGTACGCGGTGGATGATAAAATAGGAATAAAACAACATAAAGGGCCAAATACTGCACCGGAAGGCTAGATGTTAAACACAAGCTGGTGCACATCAGCATCAATCATTTGGTGAAAACATTTAAAAATCAAACCTAATCCGAGGAATATGAGATATAATAAGCATCTGAAGCCTGAATGCATATTACGATCAGCATGGATCCATCAAGTTAGTCAATCTGTCTGGCCAATTGTTAGTAGTGTTTCGCTTTCAGCACGAAGACGGTGCTGTTCACCTGTTAGAAGCAAAACGGTAGCTC